CCCCTCCTCCTTCACAGCGTGAGACACAGCCCTGAACCCCCGTCTCCTTCAACCGAACAGGAAGCTACTGCAACCGCATCAGTGTGACATCTTCAACCTCAGGACCCAGCTCCAACAGGAAACCCCAGGAGCAGAATTGGGCTACACTTGCCTCTGCAGACACAAGGCCAGGCCTTTCCTCCTCCGTAATCCCCCGCCTCCCTCTGCTTGTTCAAACTCCCCGCCCCAAGGCAAGGCTGCCCCCCGCTCACACGCTGTTGCGCTTAGGAACAGGGCGCGCCACTCTGAGGAGACCGAATCCAGGGGGGGAACTTTAGGGGCTCCAGCCCCCCTACATGACGCCCTGCGGGGGAAGGAGCCAACTTAGTAGAAGGGGCCACAGATTTCTACACCCCACGAGAGGGCAGGATGGCCCCCAGGACCCGGAGGGAATAGCCAACTATGTATCAGAGGGGACAAGATCTGTCTGATCACAGCGGCTTCGCAGGGCGGAGCGAAGCAAACACAGAGCCAGAGAAGCAGCCGGCAACAACGCGCGTCAGAAACAGCATGACGATGCAAAACTTCCTGCTTCCAGGGAAGGAAACCAGCTCCCCGAAGGAACAACTTTCGCCATCCTTTTGGAGGGACGTCCAGCCAAATATGGGAGCATCGGTCCGGATGGAGAGAGCCCCCACTCCTCCGCCCGGGATCAGCCTGCCTGGCCACGGACCAAACACTGGTAAATAAAACATTGATTGGTGGGACCGCGGGCGAGTGGGAGTAAATGCAAACGGCTTTGCCGGCATCAGCCTTTCCCCCGAGGAAGACCCCGGGTGCTTCTTACAAGCACAAGGCAGGCACCATTTTGCCCCGTTGATGTGGGTCTCAAATTCTTGCTCTATCCCTGCATAGGACAGGACCACTCCCTGCTGCTGCTCGGATCCATGAAATTCCCGACTGGTAGCGTCTCTCCCCGGCAAGTCCTCTTGGTCTCCGTCTACCTGCTGGCAGTCATGGGCCTCTCCATCCTCCTACACCTGCCGAGGAAGTTCCTCTCTCCCTGGGACCCTGTGATGTCCCCCCAAGGGCAGCCTCCTGCCACGGAGAGGGGCATGTGGACCGTGAACTCCGCAGGGCGCCTGGGGAACCAGATGGGGGAATACGCCACCCTCTACGCCCTGGCCAAGATGAACGGGCGCCAGGCCTACATCCCGCCGGAGATGCACCAGCAGCTGGCCCCGCTCTTGTGAACTCCGGGGCGCCTGGGGAACCAGATGGGGGAATACGCCACCCTCTACGCCCTGGCCAAGATGAACGGGCGCCAGGCCTACATCCCCCCGGAGATGCACCAGCAGCTCGGTACCTGGCCAGGCTGCGTGGGCAGCGCCGGAACGTGACCTACGTGGGGGTCCACGTCCGGAGGGGGGACTACGTCTGGGAGATGCCCCAGCGTTGGAAAGGGGTGGTGGCGGACAAGGCCTACCTGGACAAGGCCATGGGCTACTTCCGGGCCAGGTACCAGGAGCCGGTCTTCGTGGTGACCAGCAACGGGATGGACTGGTGCCGGGAGAACATTGACGCCTCGCGGGGGGACGTGTATTTCTCGGGGGACGGGAAGGAGTCGTCGCCGGGGAGGGATTTCGCTCTCTTGGCCCATTGCAACCACACGATCATGACCATCGGGAC